AAGGAAATGTGCTGCTTGATGCAAGGGAAGCTGTCGTAGACAATGTTGATAAAGTTATGGAGAACATGATGCAGGGCAATAAGATCAGACGAGTTGCAGCTACTCGCATGAATGAGAGGTCATCTCGATCACACACGATTTTCCGGATTATTCTGGAGTCGAAAGATGCCAATCAGAAAGATGGACCTGTACATATAAGCTACCTTAACTTAATGGACTTAGCTGGTTCTGAGAGAGTTTCTCTGACGAAAGCTGCTGGTGAGCGTCTTAAAGAGGGGGCTAACATAAACAAATCTTTGTCAGTATTAGGAAATGTGATAAGGCAACTAAGCGAGGGGAAGGAGTTTATCAGTTATCGCGATTCGAAATTGACTAGACTGCTCTCACAGGCTCTTGGCGGTAATGCCAAATCATTGATTATCGGGAATGTTACTTTAGCTGCAGAGGAGGAGACTAGATCTACACCAGAATTCGCCCAAAGCACTAAAACTGTCAAAAATAAAACGAAAGTAAACATCTTGTCAGCTACAGAAGAGACACTTCAAGGATATCAGAACTTGACTCGCGATCTCGAAACTCGGCTCAAAAAGCAGGCAATTAAGCTAAAAGAGATGGATAAAAGCAAACAAGAGTATCTGCTCGAGATAGAAAGACTAAAAACGGAAGTATCTATTGTCGGGCGCTTTCAAATGGGAGCCTCGGCATCAACACCGAAAAAAACATTAAGACGTCATACTTTTGGACACTATGGCAACGTATCACCTAAAAAAGCATCCCTAGGGTATATGCCATTGAAAAATTATCCACCCAAAGAAGAATCATCCGGACGTGAAATGAGGCCTATTCAAGAAGAGACATATGAGGAGGCACTAGCCGAAGCAGAATCTGTGATAGCTGAAGACGTGCAAGTGTACTTAAAAGACAACTCAAAGGGAAGAATCTTTCAATGAGCTTAGAGAATTCACTAAACTAGATAATCAGCTGGAGATTTTGGACCTGAAGAAACAGCTCACAGAAGCCAATTCTAAATTCGATCGTTACAGTCAGGAACTCCGCCAAGTAACGGATGCGTACAACGAAGAAAATAGAAAGAGTTCAAAAAAATTCTCAAAAAGCGCAAGAATTTCATCGACTTGCAATACAGACTCGATTTTCTGGAAAAAAATAATAAAAAGACTAAAAACATACGAGTCAGAAATAGAGATGCTGCGTACTCAACTGAAGAACCTAGGAAGATCAGAGAGCCCTAAACCATCTCTTGAAGCTCAAAATATTGAGTCAAAAAAGAAGGTTGCAGACTTAGAAGCTATGCTTGACGCTGAGTACGAAGATATGCAACATTCTTTAAGTGCTGCTGCACAAACTGATGTAACGATGTCACACATTGCTGAACTGCAAGATGAAATTGGCTTCCTAAAAGAACTTGAATCTAAACTGAGAAATGACGTAAAGAGTCTGATGGACGAGAGTAACCAACGTGAGGTCAACCACTCATTTAAAATCTCAGATATACGATGCCATAATGATTCTACTATAAAAGAGCTTCAGGATCAAATGGCTGAACTGGAATGCCAAAACGAAATCTGGATTATGAAAAAGGACGACGAAATCAGAAAATTGCAACAACTAATTACAAACCCGAAGCAGGCTGGCACTTAACCAGAACCACCTGTGCAGGAAGACGTTGCATTTTATAGGGAGCAAGTTGAGTTCTCCCAGAACATGTACAAAAATGAGATAATAGGTGGAGAGTTACGTATAAACCATAGAGAAAATCTTCAGGCAGTTAAACTAGAAATATGTCTACCCTTGTTTAGTGTTTACGATTATTGCAGGGTTTGGACAAAGTTTAGGGCTGATCCCAGTGCTCACAGTGTACAATTTTCAGCTAATAAATCTTGAATTCTGAGGTAACAAAATCAACTAGAACTCTGAAAAAGTGATTTATCAGAAATCATGCCCTTACTTCCATGATAAGAGGGATTCGTAAAAATTATAAGCAGGTTGTGGCTTATTATCTAGTAAAAGATACAAGAATCCCAGATCTGAAAACGATTATTGTTCATGTGATCACAAACTAGCAGCGACTTGGTTTGTGCGTTGTTGGCACTATTTCTAATCAGGGCGCAACGATCAAAAACGCACTTGAGACGATTTGCTCGGAGAATACTCACGGATCAAGTCCATTCCATTTTATAGTCAATGCTCAGAGTATTTCTACAATTTGTGATGAACCACATTTATTCAAAAATGGATGAAATGCTCTTATTGACATTAATATGAAAGTGAAGAAGCTGCACAGATTGAACATGTCTAGAAATCATATAATGTTGATCAGCAAACAAGACCATACAAAGAGCTATGTAAATTGAAACCCAGCCACTTTGATTTTATAGATTCGTTCAAGAATATAGAAATTAATCCTTTAATGATATCGTCGGATGATTCGAGCTTTCTCAGTTATGTGGTGGGGGTCCCGTGACTTCTCATACGGTATGAGCACGTATACCTCAAACCACAGTTTAATTTAAACATCACAATTGTTGGTTTGTTGACTTTGCGGTCAAATTTGATCCGAGGATGTCAGTTGCGTGTACGATTTGAACTTCCTTCACAATGGATTTTTTCGTTGTTGACGGATGAACAATACACTATAGACTACGCCGAGGACGACGCTGCTATCGATCAACCTGAACAACTTCCTATGGGCGACCTCGCTATGCCTATGGAAAAAACATGTACAATTGGTCAAAACGAGCGCCTGCAACTGGTCGATTATTACGCATTTACCTGAACTAAAGTCCGTGGCAACCAATTTGGAAAATAATAACCCTGTGACTCGAGAAATGCCGATAAATTTCTCCAAATACGTGAAATTTTCGAGACACTCATAGAGAACTGTCGAAATTGTTATATTTCGGGTGAGTCCCCTACAAAATACGAGATGCTCGTGGGCCGATGTCCTTCCTGTGCCTACAAGAAAACTAAACCGAATAAGTATGGACTGATGATGCAAAGACTCACCACTACCTGCTCAATGCTTTCGTCTATACGAACAGAAATATCACAGCAGATGACTGGTTCACGTCGTAGTAGAATTACATGTAGAATTGCGCATCAACCAACTGACCTATGTCGGCAGGAAGCGTAAAAATAAGTAACAAGTACCCCAACATGTAGTTCCAAATAAGAAGGAAACACAGCCAGGTACTTCTAAGTTTATGTTGTACAGCCTTAGAGTAGTATCTTCCAAAACCAAATACACATGTTCTCGTATAGCAATCTATGCAGCATGATAACAAAATAGTAGAGGAATCAAAGAAACCTGATAAGATCCTATATTATTTTTATAACACTATGAAGGCGGGGGGTAATGCATTATGATCGGAAGTGTGTAAATTACAATACTGGTTAGAGAACGAGAAGATGGCCTTGTGCTATTTGGTATCCAACCAGCTTCTGTAAATTCCTTTTTTTTTCAGTCTGGGACTGAAAGTTCCATTAGGCGACGAAATTTTATTGTTCCCCTGAGGCAAACTCTAATTTAACTTCGTATGAGAGGACGTTTATCAGATCCAAGACTTCCTAGGGAGCTTCGTTCAGCCATGCAAAGAATCCTAAATTACCAACGACGAATAAAGTAAGCCGTCTACTTCTCAGCCCAGAGTTCTCGATCCTGATGCAGTTGTTAAAGAAAAAAAACGACGTAGGTGTTACATGACAATACACAATGAAAAAAATGTTCTACAATCTGTAATAAGTATGTAAAGTCACAGCGCACTTACATTGTTTCGTGAAAGTGATAAATGTTAATTATTGTATGTTTCCTTATACGAGAAAGTATTTGTTTTGTTGTAGAATATCAACACCAAATATGTTGTTAAATGGCCCATTTTGTTAGTTTTTTTATGTTCATATTACAGTTCAAGTTTCGAGGATTATATTTATTGCATTACTCATCTTCAATGGGGTATTTTCGTTTTTAGACAATAAACAGTTTTCATGTAAGAGTGTCTTATGCGTACAAACCTGTTGTACACATGGCTAAAAACAGTAATGGCATTTCAGATGTTGATAGTAAGATCCGGTGGATAACCTGTTTTGCGAGATTAGACGTGGGATTTCCAACACGAACACCATCTGTTTATTTGAAGCATTAAAAACTGTAATAATCAACAATTTCAGTTTTCCATTGACAATAATGAAGAATTATGAAGGCGATTCATGTAAGGCACTAGGTAACTTCGCGTTGCTTTTAGAAGAGTATTGTCTGAATAGACAACAGTTACCTTGTGATTCTTCACCGAGCTGCATTTTTCAAGTTGAAAAATCGGGTGCTGAAAGTGATGGATCTATAGATTTGTGAGAATTTGCTGCTGCTTCAACTTCTTTTTGTAATAACAATAACAGTCTATATGAAATTTAACAATTCTGTTTCTTCTTTGATTTTGAGTCACCCTGTAAATGTAGCTCTACTAAACTATCGGACCGCATTCATAGCCTACAAGAGAAAAAAATCTTCTATACTGGAAAGGAGGAAAAAAAGAATGTATCAACCTGATACATCTGCCCCTCTTTATAACCCGTGAAATAGCCCTAGTTCTAATTAAATTTCAGTTCAAGCTTCCAAAATGACTTCCAACAATATTAAAGTAGCCACAAAGATCAGACCAATGATCCACCGCGAAGTAGCCGATGGTCTAGAGCGTCTTTGGAACGTAAGAGTAAACTGCATATGGGAAGCCGATGAAAGTAGTCGCCATGGAGAGGTTTATATATTCGACCATGTATTTAATCAGGAATGTACAAATTCAGATGTATATGGATCTGTAGTAAAACCTTTAGTCGATTCCTTCATGGAAGGTTTCAATGCCACAATATTTGCATATGGCCAAACATCTTCTGGCAAACACACACCATTTTGGGCAATAAAACAGATCCTGGGCTTTTCCAATTAGTATCCAATCAGTTATTCCAGCATGTGGCAGACCAGGTTGATAAGAGGTACTTGATTAGATGCAGTTATATTGAAATCTACAATGAAAAGATCAATGACCTCCTGGATAAGAGCAATCAGGGTTTAACTATGAGAAGATATCAAAGGAAATGTGCTGCTTGATGCAAGGGAAGCTGTCGTAGACAATGTTGATAAAGTTATGGAGAACATGATGCAGGGCAATAAGATCAGACGAGTTGCAGCTACTCGCATGAATGAGAGGTCATCTCGATCACACACGATTTTCCGGATTATTCTGGAGTCGAAAGATGCCAATCAGAAAGATGGACCTGTACATATAAGCTACCTTAACTTAATGGACTTAGCTGGTTCTGAGAGAGTTTCTCTGACGAAAGCTGCTGGTGAGCGTCTTAAAGAGGGGGCTAACATAAACAAATCTTTGTCAGTATTAGGAAATGTGATAAGGCAACTAAGCGAGGGGAAGGAGTTTATCAGTTATCGCGATTCGAAATTGACTAGACTGCTCTCACAGGCTCTTGGCGGTAATGCCAAATCATTGATTATCGGGAATGTTACTTTAGCTGCAGAGGAGGAGACTAGATCTACACCAGAATTCGCCCAAAGCACTAAAACTGTCAAAAATAAAACGAAAGTAAACATCTTGTCAGCTACAGAAGAGACACTTCAAGGATATCAGAACTTGACTCGCGATCTCGAAACTCGGCTCAAAAAGCAGGCAATTAAGCTAAAAGAGATGGATAAAAGCAAACAAGAGTATCTGCTCGAGATAGAAAGACTAAAAACGGAAGTATCTATTGTCGGGCGCTTTCAAATGGGAGCCTCGGCATCAACACCGAAAAAAAATTAAGACGTCATACTTTTGGACACTATGGCAACGTATCACCTAAAAAAGCATCCCTAGGGTATATGCCATTGAAAAATTATCCACCCAAAGAAGAATCATCCGGACGTGAAATGAGGCCTATTCAAGAAGAGACATATGAGGAGGCACTAGCCGAAGCAGAATCTGTGATAGCTGAAGACGTGCAAGTGTACTTAAAAGACAACGCAAAGAACTGGAAGAATCTTTCAATGAGCTTAGAGAATTCACTAAACTAGATAATCAGCTGGAGATTTTGGACCTGAAGAAACAGCTCACAGAAGCCAATTCTAAAATCGATCGTTACAGTCAGGAACTCCGCCAAGTAACGGATGCGTACAAGAAGAAATAGAAAGGTTCAAAAAAA